CAAGGCGTTTTCAATGAAGACTCTTGAGTCGTCCCTGGACAAGAATCAAGTTCTGATTGAAGCTAAGGAGCTTAAGGAGGACCAGAACAAAATTCAAGGTACATTTTTATTGTCCCCATTAAACTGCAGACATTTCTTCCCTCCCTTGCCTTTCAGTTTCCGATATCCCAAAGGAGTCTCCATTGAAAACGCCTTGGGTAAAGGCACAAAGATCTCGCGGATATGCGAATTTTGAATCAAACTTGGTCTGCTATTCAAGAACGGACTCTACCAATAATATTCTGTATTTGAAAATCTTGGGAAACGACCTTTTTTCCAATGCTGATGTCCAAAGCCCGGAGCTTTTAGTGAGAAGCCTAATCCGGCTTCCCATTGTGATGGACTGCATATCGGAGATTGGTGTTGAACACCGAACTATCGACGATTACACTGAAGATGTAAAACTCCACACAGGCGGCATATCTGTTGGTCTTGAGACCATCATTGATTATAAAGGTAGCGATCGGGATCTTATTGTCATTCTAGATAACCAGAAATTTTCGATATTGCCGACCATCTCAACTCACGGATTGTCCCAAAATGTCCCTCGCTTGCTGGACCTTATTGATGAGACCTTGAGAATACCCAATTTCAGTGACAAACTGCGCCTAAAAAACCTGATTTTGTCTTCAAGCTCGTCAGGCATAACGAGTATAGCAAATTCGGGCCACAGCTATGCAATTCTTTATGCGTCTGCTCCGTTTTCGCCTGGCTTGGTATTTTTTTTGGTTTATTCTTATGTTTAGCTGTGCAGAGAGGCTTTGGAGGGAATTACTCAAATATTCTATCTTGATCACCTTTGTTCCCTGATTTCCTGCAAAGATGAAAATCCTGATTTGGATCGGTCAGTTTTAAAGTTCACAAAAGATTGGGAAGCAATAGTGTGCAGAGGAATTTGCGACCGATTTTCCATCTTGGGGGCGGAGGACTCTATAATAGCCTCGGCTGCGGAGACTGTTTTTGATATATTTTCTAATGGAGGCCCGTTAGCTTGCAAGGCTGGAGGTACCAGACTGCCGTTCTCCGAAGAAGATGCCAGTAAATTACCTATCCCTGATGGCACCAATACATACTTTGACTTTCCATTTCCAGTATCATCCACTGCCACGTCATTCATGACCGTACCATGGTGCGATGACGACTCTCCAAAATTCAAGGTATGTGTGATTAACAGTAATTCCGCTAGATTCTTGCATCCATCCTGTCGAGCAAATATCTTCATAGGGAAATAAGAGAAATTAACGGGGCATACGGCGGTGGCGCCTCTTTTTCCGACATCAGCGGGGTGTTTTCTTTTTACACATATCGCGACCCATATCCTCTCAAAAGTTTGGAAACCTTTCAGAAATCAATTGGCTGGATCAAATCTGAAGATAACGGCCCAAACGACCAAGACATTTTGGAGGCCAAGCTTTCCATATTTAAATCCATGGATGCCCCAGTCGATATTGACTCTTTGGGCATGACCGAATTTATCCATCGAATCAGCAGTGAGGAAAGAGACGCACGAAGAAAAAAGTTACTATCGGTCACTCTGCATGATATCAAAGAGCTACTCAATAGGGTTTGGCCAACCGGAGGCCAAGGACCGAAAGGCTGTTCAGTAATCATAGGTGGCGGAATATCTCCACCTGCCGATTGGAGGATAATTAAGGGACCAGGCTGTTCTCAAAGCTAAAATCAATAAAGAACCCCATAAACCACCAGCATGAGCATCATGATCATGATCATCGTTTCCCCTTGGTCCGCCGCAGCATTTAGCTGCCAATTGTCCAAAATACATTTTAAATTTTCTTTCCAGAGGAAATATTTTTAACTTGAATTTACATGGGCAAGACTCAGAGTACTATCACTTCTGAAAATCTTGCCGACCTGACCAGGACCACATATTGTAAGCATACGCATGCTCTAACGTACAGTCGAAAAAAAGGAAATAGATCAATGGTATCAAGGATTCATTTCTGAAATTCCCCGCGGGTATCTCACCGCACACGATTTGAACAAATTGTACGAGCAATACTTTCCGTTTGGCGATACAACGACTTTTACCACGCTACTGTTCAATCTTTTTGACGAAGACAAAGATGGAAGGGTCATGTTTGACGACTATCTGCGCTCTCTCTCCATAATTGCCCGCGGAAAGTTTGCAGAAAAGCTTGTATGGTCTTTCAGGTTTTACGATATTGACAATGACGGGTACATTTCAAGAGAAGAACTGCTGCTTGCCACTAACGCCATTTATAAAATGATCGAAAATATAGCCACACATCCAGAGGATGAGGATACGCCAGCCAAGCGGGTGGACAAGCTGTTTTCGCTTATGGATACAAACAAAGACGGCAAAATAGACTTGGACGAATATTGCATCGGTGTAAAATCGGACCCATTTATGATACAATCTTTATTTTTGTATGATGGGCATATATAAATTTTTGTAAAGTTAAAATGGGCACGCGTTTGGGAATGTGAAAATTTGCTTTGAACGGTCAATCTATAATTAGAGCTGCACCGGTTGGTCTCTGTTACTTGAGAAATGATACTTCAATGGGAATCCGTTTCAGCACTCTTCATATAAAGAGCACTTATTGAGACCACGAACAGCATGATGAAAGGCGAATGGATTTCAATCTCCATCGATGAAGACCAGTTGTATTATCCGGAACCGAAGCGCGAAGCGGCAATCTACTGCACCAGCCCTTGTGTTGTGATAAATTCTTTTGAAAGCCTACAGCCGGCTTGTGAGAAATATTTCGACTCTAAAGAGCATGGCGGAGACGAGTTTTCTGGATTTCACTGGGCTAGGGCCAAAGAAGGCAATCAAAAGCTGTCTTTCCCCGCCAAAAGGTCTCCTGTATCGCCCCAAGATTCTTCAAATGCTAACATTTTACTTTACCGTGGACAATCGTTCGAGAAAAGCTTGGACAAAAGCTTGGAAAGTTCAGACGAGGATGATGATATGTCGATTGCGGACGATTTCGAAGACTATTATTCGGTAAGGGAAAGATATAAAAGCAGCTTTGAAGATTATGTGGTAAAAGAGGAGCAAGAGATGATACTTGATGTTTTGATTGAAAATCTTGAAATCAATGTAAGCGATCATCAAGGCCGTGATAATGAGAACCATCATGGCGATGCTGATAATGAGAAAAATTCCGATTTCGATTTCGATTTCGATTTCGATGCCGATCAAGACGACGATGATTTCAGCKGCATCTTTTCTGAGGGCCATTCTAGCAATGAGGTTGCCAACAAAAGCCTTAACAAAGCGTCAAATTCTTCCTCCTTATCTTCGTTGGAATCTTTTTTGAACTTGAGAGCTTACTTTTTTAACAAGTACCTGTTGCTTGAGCAATTGAGAACGGGCCAAAATCAATTCGAACTATTTAACCAGGTCGCTATGATGACCATATCTGAGCCAACCGATCTACGTCCACGAAGCACATTGGAAATTGGAGAAAATAATATATCAAGTGAAGAGGAACACGGCAGATTTACCGACTGCGACGAGCTTGAGGAAGAATTAACAATGTCTCTCCAATCGCCACTGAAATAGCAATTTTGGCTAGCCCTCCCAACTAAATAAAGAATTCAATTGAAATGTACGATTTCATTTTAATTTAGCAATCCAGGCAACCAACTCGCCAATCAAATTGTGGCTGCGTTTCAAATAAATCATAGATAGCCCTCGGGGTGGATCCTTTTATCCTCAATCTAGCTACGAGATTCCTGCTACGCTGTACCAGTTGCTGACAGACATAACCATTTAGTATGATGCAAACCGAGTGCTACACGACAGCTGTACCGATGCCTTCATCACCCAAGCAGATTGCCTCCAACGAGGTCGACATTAGTGTGATGGCCTTGCATTATCCCACACAAATTTCTTATCTGTATTCCAAGGGAATTTCCAACCTTACAAGTAAGCCCATCTGCTTATGCATGTATCGTTACAGGCCGCCATGGGTTTTCGCCCGAAAAGCTTGCAAAAATATCGAATGCGCAATTCATCGACTTGTCTACTGATATTTTTGACGATATTAAAAGAAGAGAGGGTCTAAGCAACCAAAGCCCCGCGCAGCCTTCAAATCAAATCCATTCAGAAAGGCGCATCCAAGCAAGGGGGAAACTTTCCATGCTTAGCGAGGACAAGTTTCTTGAAATCATCAAGGATGTTGTGTCAGAATGGACTCTTCGCTTTCCTGAACACATTGTTTCCTCGCAGAGCGATGCCAAAGTTTCGTTTCAAAAGAGAAAGGCACCAAGAGTAAGCACCTCTGGCCTTTCGGAGCACATGAAGCCATTTGATCAAGAAGAACGCGACGCAAAATCGGCTGGAAGATTTTCCTTCTTTAATAAGAAGATAGAAAAGTTATTTGCGTTTGGCGTATGATTTTTGTTTATGCCAACTTTGTATAGAAGCAGGGTTCACACCGGGATCATCGTAGCCTCAAGTCGCCATCCCAACCGGTCTCTCCCACGTTCAGCGTTTCAAGCAAAAAAGTTCCATTTGATTTTGGATCCATCGAGTCGCTTCTGACCGAAATTTCTTCAAAATCCAAGCATAATCCCGAAATCGACACCTCGCTTCTCGATTCAAGCTATTCTCTATTTTCTGGAGAATTTGAAAAGAAAATTCGGGACCAATCGCACATAATCTCGTCTCAAAAGGAAATAATTACCAKACAGCAACTTGAGATTGAGAAGCTTAGAAATGAAGCAAATATCGTATCAAAGGTATTGCATTTCACTCGCCAATTTCCATCCTAGGAACTCAATGACTTGAAAAGGGAAAATAGCGAATCCGATAAAAAGTGTTCTCTCCTTCATACCCAAATACTCAACCTTGAGCTTGCTCTTAATCGCGAAAAAGCGTCCTCTGCCCTATTGGAAGAACAGGTATCCCCTCCAGCATTATTAATCCGTGTAGAAAAATAAGCTAAATCAAGAAGTTATAGGCGCCTCTGCTCTTTTGACCTCGGCCTGTTCAGGTACCATTAGGAGTGTTTTTACAAAAAAGAAAACGCGCCCCAAATCCCATCCCTTGCCAGCATTCTCGGGGTTCCTAGTCTGATTGGATACATTAGGAGTATGCATCCTTTAAATAGCATTTTGGCTCTTTCAGACCATTTTATCCTTACGATTAACAAGTCGCCCAATGCTACGGACATTGCCTCTGTCATGAAGGCATATACGGTGCACATCAAAAAATATCTTGTCTCTGTTGAGAAGCTGGAGAAAGAATTTTCTGCCCTCAAGGTTGTTTCAAAGAAAAAGGACGATGATAAGGTTGCTGAGCCCTCTTCGTCCGGCGGTCGACTTTCTCTTTCGTTGCCCTCAAAAGTGATCCTCAATTCGTCAAAAAATCTTAGAGTAAAATGCACCACGTCCCTTGGTATCATTTTAAAGCTATTGAAGATTGCCTTTGGAGATGAAAACCAATTTCCTTTGGCTGAGACGATTCGGCAGATTGAAATGCTAATTCACGATGTTGGCATTCTTCTTTGGAGGATAAGTCAGGCGAAAACCCTTTTTTTGATAGCACTTGAAAGATTTACTGTGGCAACGGTCGGTGATGCCTATCAAGAAGAAATCATAAAATCCGCCGAAGAGGCCAATTTTCAAGCTCAGCATATAACATCTCCGTCGATCAAGAAAAAAGATGATGTGCATATGATCTGCGATGAGGAAGAAACATCTTCGACCCCTCCTTTGAGCGCTCTCGATCTTGATTCCTCCTCGACCGATGCTATTTTAAAGCCCAAATCGGACAAGTTTGACTGTATAAAGGTACAAGGCATCTTTGTTGATTTTTAGGCGGATATTGAGGAAAAAACGGACAAAATCATCCAAATTGTGCAAAGCCTGCTGCTCCAACTTGCTGCATCGTCAAAAAATGGCCAGGAGCCCCCAATTTCCATCTTCCAATCGACAAAGCTCTGCAATGTGCTTTCACAGGTTATCATTTATTCGAATGGCCTTCTGGAGCGGTCCAAGGAGTTTATTACGCTTCCGGCTATGCTCCATCAAAGGATGAATTCCGAGGCTGCCATGTGCAATCTTGAAATAGCGGCTGGCACGTTTGGCGCGATCAAGCAACTTATTTTCCAAAAAAGAGCCGATGGAAGTAGCGAAAATGTTGAATCCACCATTGAGGATGTTGCCCGTGCCCAGCTAGTTGATGCCTGCCACTGCCTGATCAAAGCTACCAGAGACTTTCACTGCATTCTTGACCGAGTAGCTAATGTCAACCATCGACACAGCAGTAATAATTGAATAGATTTTTTGAATGCCAATAAATTAATACCTTGAATAATTTAATGGACCCTCTTTAATTTGCTTGTAACTTTACACCACAACATGTCGTTTGTATTTCCGGGGCAAAAAATCGTCCCTTCCAATAAGATCACGCCAGCCAGGTCCGAGGCGATGCTTGCCGAAGCGGGGCTATATCGCAGCTTGGAAGATTCGTTTTTGCATGCCTCGCTTTTTGGAAGGCTCTCGGTCATCAGCAGCGGAAATACACGCTCAACGTCCTTTAGCATTCTGCCCCCATTCTGCAATACCAAGATTGAGGATACACACCGCATTGGTCCAGTTACTTCCCATCCAAAGGCTGGTGATTTGGTGATCGGAAAGGTTACAAAAATCTCACAGAGAAATGTTTCCGTCACCATTCTTCTTTTGGCCGTTGATTCCACCAACTACTCGCGGTGCTCTGCAGGCCATTCCGGAATCATTCGCCTGAATGACATCTATAATCGGATTCTTGGAGAGAATACACAGCACGTTGCCATTTCTGCCTTTAGGCCCGGAGATATTGTTCGAGTTCGTGTGCTTGCAATAGCAGAGGGAAATATCTACTACCTCTCAAGCGCCTCTGCAGATTTGGGCGTAATATACGCACGTAACTCAACAACAGGAAATCCTATGACGCCCGTTTCGGCAGAAGAAATGATATGTCCTTTAAGCAGTCAAATAGAGCCAAGAAAAGTTGCTGCCGTGGACACAATAAAAGACACCAAATAATGCCATCATTGACTCAAGCGAGGGAATACCTTTAAAAAGTAGTCGGGAAAAGGCGCATCCACACGCAGTGCGGAGCCTCCTTGAAGCAATGGGGGAAGTAGAATGGACCTGCAATGAAGGAACAGGCTATTTCTACCGCTAGGCAAACCAACTTTCCCAGCAGCAGAGGTGCAACACAAACCAGTAATTGCCCTACTTAGGTTCAAATTGCCTTGATACAAATAATCGCCAAGAATAGGTGCATTTAGCTCTTTGGCACAATGAATGCGAAGCTGATGCGTACGTCCCGTGATTGGACGCAAGCTTACAAGCGCGATTTTCTTTGAACAGAAAGAGCTGATCGCCAAAATCCTGTAGTCGGTAATGCAAGGCTTGCCATCGGCCTGATCATTTGTCAAGGGAAATCTGGGCCTGATCGAGGAGCTAATCCTGGAGGGTAAGCGCACCTTGTCATATACACCTACCTTGTGTAGACTGAAGAAACCATGTGTTCGTCCCAACTGCTTGGAGCCTCAACGACCGCAAAATACTGCTTTTTAATCGTACCACAAGAGGAGAACAGAAACGAAAGTTTTCGAGCAATCGAATCTCTCCTTGCTAGCAGCAAAACTCCAGTCGTGTTCTAAAGAATGGGAAGCCGCCGCTTACTTTATCTAGTCTGTGAACAATGAAGGGTGTATGCTTATTTTCAAACATAAAATGATGCAGTACACTAAAGAGAGAAGGTCCGTAGGGTTTGTTGCTCAATAAAGCCGACTCGCCTTTGCAGGGGCCATGGACCGGTAAAAATGCTGGTTTATTTATGGCTATGAGATTTTTGTCGCGGTAAATAACTTGGTCAAGCAAGTAATTGGCGAACATTTGGGACTTGATTGTCGATTTCATGTTAAAATTTGCTGAATTTTAAATTAATTTTATTTCAGTAGAGGCAAGGTCCACATGCCATACTCTGATGAATCTCCTCGAGATTTTTCCAATCGGCGAAAGACACCTCTGAGGTTGTGGAAGCCTCCGCCAATGTCCTTGATGCGTGAGCGGATCGACGAGTATGGTTCCGACAGACGCTCATTTCGGGACGAGTATGGTGCCGACAGACGCTCATTTCGGGACGAGTATCATTCAAATGGACGCTCATTTGGGAGAGATGACCAGAGAAATAGGGAACTTGCTTCGCAATATGCGGAGCCATCATCACCCAGAAGGTCCCTAGATGGTCATTCTAGATACCAGAGAGGTAATAGAGAATATCACCACGAAAAGGAATATCACTCCCGAGAATATCATCCACGGGAACACCACCAAAGAAAAAGTTATTCTCCTAGTGAACGTGAATACGCAAAAACAGATCATTATGAACACGCGGCTTTTCAAGAAAAACCTACAAACCCAAAATCTCCACATTTACTTTATCCACACAATCAATACCACACCGATACGGAGACAAGGAAAACATTGCCCAGGATCAATTCAGATGGTCAAACAATTCGAACGATCGATCAGTTTAACAGCATTAGATCGCAATCGCGTTCAACAGAAAAAAAGCCATCTCGGCAACACGAGATCGAAAGGAGAAGAAGCTCTGGGACCGACTCCTTTTCCGATATTTCTTCTTCCAGCTGCTCGCCGCCTTTAAGGGAAGAAAAATCGCCAAGCTCGGCAAAAGGAGCAGCATCATGTACCAAAAAATGCCTCTCATCACAACAGCTCACGACCAAGATGCCATTGCCACCGCAAGGAACCAAAGAATCATCAAGGCCACCGACAGAAACAATGACACCACCAAAAAGCTTGTCGCAGCTGTCTAGAAAGGATTTGGAACAACTTATCCCACACATGAATGACATTGACGCGAAATATGAGAAAATCTCTCAAATTGGCGAAGGTACATACGGAAAGGTATTTAAGGGAGCTGTGAAAAACCCCATCGGTGCGCAACAATACGTGGCCATGAAGAAGGTCAGAATGGAGTGTGAAAAGGAAGGGTTTCCCATCACGGCCACGCGCGAGATCAAAATCCTTTCTTCAATCGCGCACAAGAATATCATCCAGCTAATCGAAATTGTAACATCAAAAGGTACCATTTTTCGTTCTAATGGCCAGAGTCTGTGTATATGGTTTTTGATTACATGGAATACGATCTTGCGGCTCTTATCTCCCAGGCCGCCACAGAGCTTCAGATCCGCCATGTAAAATATCTGATCAGGGAAGTGTTGGAGGCCATGGCTTATCTTCACGAAAACAAGATTTTGCATCGGGATATCAAGAGTACCTATTCCGATCGATTACTCATCATAGGTTCCAATGTTTTGCTCTCGCGCAAAGGCATCGTTAAACTAGCGGATTTTGGTCTCGCCCGCAGCTTTGCCAAAAGCCAGATGACACACATGACAAATCGGGTTATTACTTTATGGTATCGGCCGCCGGAACTATTACTCGGATCTTCGACATACGACTCTTCCGTAGACATGTGGGGTGTCGGGTAATCGCTGACAAGATTATCTGTAGATCACTTCTGGCGGAATGGCTATTGAAATCAGCCCCCTTTCAGGGATCCACAGAAATATCGCAGCTGATGGCAATCTTTTCCGTTCTAGGAAACGGCGCCTCTCTTCCGGATTGGTCCGATTGCCCCACTCTTGCGGCGCTGCCGTGGAGCAGGTGGATCCACCCTCCGAAGGAGTATCAGCCCAGAGTTTTAGAAGCAAAGCTCAGAGAGATTGGATTGTCCGAGCTCGGTTGCGAGTTCGTCGCTTCGTTCTTGCAAATGGAGCCCACAAAGAGGATCTCCGCCAAAGCAGCATTGCAACACCCCTTCTTCCGGGAGGAGCCGCTGCCTGCGCAGCCGGAAGAGTAAGCATGAGATTGATAATTTCCGGTAGACTTCCCTTCATCGAGGGAGACTGGCATGAATTTGAGGTCAAAAAAAATACTAAACGTGCAAGGCGACCCGATGGTGACGATCAAATTACAATTAGTAAAAAGTAGTTCGTTTTCAATTTTAAAAATTGTACACATTCAAATTCAGCCCTCATCTGAGATGCCGACAGGATATTTTGCATCAAAATTTGCAGCCTCTTTTGAAGAAAACTCAAAAGCGGAAAAAGAGTAAGGCGGTTGGTTATAATTTTTCGGTAGCTCAAAAAAAGACGTTGATTCGATACTCAGTGAAGACGAACAGGAGGATCAAGAAGACTATAAACGAGGTAACTTTGGCCCCATTATTGATTGCTAGGCGGGTATCATCCAGTGAAAAATGGTGACCTGTATCATAATCAGAGATATAGGGTGTTAAAGAAGCTCGGGTGGGGACATTTTTCAACGGTTTGGTTTGCTCTGGACACCGTTACTTCTTCCTTTGTTGCATTGAAAATAGTGAAGAGCGACAAAAGATACGCCGACGCCGCATTTGATGAGATTGAGCTTTTGGAAAGAGCCTCTGGAAAAAAAGGGGCTCGTAATCATCGACCGGCATGCCCTTCTACATGCAATCCTGCACAGGGTGGCCAACGTGTTGTTAAGCTGCTTAACCACTTTACCATAAAGGGCCCCCACGGAGAGCGTAATGCTTGCCTTGGTTTATTTTTCGTAGATATTTGCATGGTCTTTGAGGTCCTTGGCCACAATTTACTAAAGCTTATCAAGGAATATGACTACAAGGGGATTCCTATTGCTACCGTCAAAAAAATTGCCGTCGATGTGCTCAACGGGCTAGACTACCTCCATTCAGTCTGCGGAATTATCCACACCGATTTAAAGCCCGAAAATGTGCTTCTTTGTCTAGACGGCGAAAGCATCGACGCGCTTGCCACATCCAGCGGGCTTTCCAAATCAGAGTACAAACGGAAAACGGAGCATCCATTTCCTGCCACTTGCTCCGGCTTGCTCAATGATGTCCGGTTGGTTTTTTCCCTAACTCCAGGCTTGAACAAAACCTTAATGAGATTTCTTTAAATAGCCCCGAGCGGCCATCAACAGCGGATCAATTTGCCAAGGTTACAGATATCTCGCTGGACCCCCTATCAATTTCAAGGTACCGTCACATGCTGCCCAGATCCATCTCCGTAAAGATTGCCGATCTTGGGAATGCTTGTTGGACTGATAAGCATTTTACAAAAGACATCCAAACAAGACAATATAGATCGCCTGAAGTAATTTTGGGCGGTGAATATAACTTTACCGCCGATATTTGGAGCTGTGCTTGCATGGTACCGATCGAAGATGCCGTGTATTTATCTTAGATTTTCGAACTGCTCACTGGAGACTTTTTGTTCCAGCCAAAGGAATCAACAAAGTTTACAAAAGATGCAGGTGGGGTTGATGTGTTTATGCGTTTACTAGATCATCTTGCCCAGGTGATAGAATTGCTCGGGGGATTTCCAAAATCCCAAATCAAAGGCTCATATGCAAATGAAATCTTTTCAAAAAAAGGTACCTTTTCCTGCCCTCAATAGGCAATAGGCGAGATTAGAGGAATCAAGGAACTGAATTTGTGGCCACTTCATGCCGTGCTAGTCGATAAGTATCAGTTTCCTGCAACTGAAGCACAGGAGATTTCAGAATTTCTTCTTCCGATGCTACATGTAGATATTAGGAAAAGAGCCACAGCTTCCGACTGTCTGCGTTCGAAATGGCTTTTTCCATATAACATTATTGAGACCAGTGAGCAAAACAACAACCAAGGCAATCCCATTGGGTGCGAACAGGATGAGATTGAAAAACGTATGACCAACCCTGTTGAGCCACACAAATAAATTAAGTGTTACAAATTTGTACTTTTTTATTTGTTTGTCATTTCATTAAATGTATGTCGTTACAGTGCCAACATTTGTATGCTGATTTGGACGCGGATGGCTTATTTTCAATTGGAGATCCTCGATGCTGCTGATTTCTTTTCTGGATCTATAATAGTACCATCCTGCAAAGACATACCCTTCGATAAATTGATTATCACATACCTGGAACGATGCCGGCCACTGAGAGCAGTGTGGAGAGCAGCACCCACCTGTTGGCAAATCCCCTGGACCGCACGGCAACAAGTATTGGCGGTATTATTACAGCTGTAAAGACCGCTGCAGTCATATAGGGCGATGTTTCCGCCCCAAAATTCACCATCTCCAATGGAGAATGGAAAATTTCCACAAAAGTATTGCAAAATTAATTGGAACAATTTTTCCCCAATAAAATAAACACGCACAATTTGCGTTTGGGTGTACATTTTCCAATGCTTAAATCGGCGTTTGTAAAATTGGTGGAAGTTGGCCCCAGGGATGGGTTGCAATCCGCCTGTAAAGTATTGCAGCCCGAGCAGAGGGCAATTCTTATTAAATTGTTGGCGCACGCAGGACTGACCTCAATTGAGGGCGGCAGCTTTGTTTCCCCCAAATGGGTTCCAACCGTACACATGGATGACGCGTGGGTTATTCTTAACTTTTAGATGGAACACTCAAGCCTGGTATTTGAGCGTTTGAAGAGAGACAATGAGCCCTTATTGCCATTAAATGCATACTCTTTTCTTGTCCCCAATAAAAGGGGGCTTGAGGCGGCATTGAATGCCGGCGTAAGCAACATTGCTGTTTTTGGATCGACCACAGAGTCTTTTTCGATGAAGAACCTTAATTGCTCCATTTCGGCTAGCATGCAGGCCTTTGAGGATATCATTTTCGAGGCAAAAACGAGAAACCCCAACATAACGATAAGAGGGTTCATTTTCCATTGCTACGCTGACCTTTAGTTACTTGTCCTGTGTTTTGGGCTGTCCTTATGAAGGACTGGAAATCGATCCAAAAAGAGTTGCCTGTTTAGCAAAGCAATACATAGACATGGGATGCTCTGAAGTATCCCTTGGGGATACAATAGGAGCTGGAACCCCCCGTAATTTGAAAAGATCCTATTTTGTATTAGAGCGATCGGAGCAATTAATTGAGGCAGTTTCTAATCAAATAGCCCTTCCTAAAATTGCTATGCACTTTCACAACACATATGGGCAGGCCCTTGCAAACATATGGGCATCGCTAAAAGTACACCTTTGCACATAAACATAGGCTGGAATACGCATCTTTGATTGCTCCATTGCCGGATTAGGTTAGCTAACTTGATTAACGCCATCAAAGGAGGCTGTCCCTATGCAAAATCTGCAACCGGAAACGTGGCAACTGAAGACGTTGTATATATGCTTCAAGGAACAAAATACGATCCAGGCGTCGATTTGGATAAGCTCAAGATCGCAAGCGATTACATTCTGCATCAATTGGGTATTTTCCATCCACCATGGCTTATTATATGGTAGGGCAGCGAGAGTCTGGATCGTTCGTCGGTCGAATAATGGGAAACAAAAGGCTGCATAAATAGTGACGGCCATTTATTAATTGACAATAAAACCTTTCAATGTGCGTGAAACACATCCCGTTAGCGCTTGATTGCTGATAAATTTCGCAATTGAGAGGTGACTTGGCCCTATAAATTGGGGGCTTGGCGCAGATCGACCGACACACGCATACACATGATATTCAAAACAATCCTCGCTTCCTCTCTATTGCTCTCCGTTTTAGGTCAGGTATGCTTGGCCGATGGCAGTATCCACGAAAATTCAGATCCCGATACTGCTTCTGCATGCGGAAGCGTGGCACACGCTGGTAAGATCAAGTTGGGTGCCAAGGAACGAGAGCGAGAAGATCCACGTTGCCCTTACCGCGAAAGAAGAGGCTGCACTGGCCGTGGCGCCAAAGGCTACGATCAGTTTGACGGCCCATATGGGGCTAGAGATCGCGACGATTTTGATGGTCCATATGGGGCTAGGGAGCGCGACGATTTTGATGGTCCATATGGGGCTAGGGAGCGCGACGATTTTGACGGCACATATGGAGCTAGGGAACGAGGCCGATTTGATATTGAAGCTATACGAGGCTATCATGACGACCCTTCTCGGCCTGATCGCGATCACCACCACGATATGGAATCTTATGATGACCCGTATCGCTATCGCGAGAGAGATTATGGATATTACTATTAGAATAAACATATCATTGCAACGATACAATTTATTCAATACAAGTGGGTTGCTAAAATCCCAAAAAGGACTTCTTTTTAGACTGTTTAGGAAATTGACGCGGGTTGGGGAGAACTTTTGGAAAGGTCAAATTTATGGTCGATAGATTAAAAGACGACCCTCCGATTTCCATGGCAGAAAATCTTTCCATCGTGGCTGATGTATCTCTTGACGGTTCTTTATATTCCGAAGAAAATGCATGTGCTGCCGATCTGGATGGAGGTAATGACTGTGTTGTGACGTTGGAAATTGAAGCTAAGGGCTGACTTCTTCCAAGATGAGATGAGTTGAAGGTTGAAGGGCCATGCTTTTCGGGCAACATGGGAGGTGGCTGTGGTATTGAATCAGAAAGAGGTTTAACTGGAGATGTGCTTGGCATTCTGGGTGGAGCGGGGGCCATGCTTGGCATTCTGGGTGGAGCGGGGGCCATGCTTGGCATTCTGGGTGGAGCGGGGGCCATGCTTGGCATTCTGGGTGGAGCGGGGGCCATGCTTGGCATTCTGGGTGGAGCGGGGGCCATGCTTGGTATCTTGGGTGGAGCGGGGGCCATGCTTGGCATCTTGGGTGGAGCAGGGGGTGGAGGCTGCGAAGGCATTTTCTTTTCCATTTTAGGCAATACTTTCGAAGTTTCAGACCCGACTTTACGAAGGGTTGGCATTCCGCCTTGGAATAGTCCGCCAAGAGAAACAGGTGGGTGGTCTTCAATGATACTGTTTCCAGCAGAAGCTATGCTGCTGGAATTGGAGGCAACTGCGGATCCAATGGCTACTGTTGCCCCTTCAACAATCGGAGCAGACCTGTCATTCGTTTTTGTCTTTTTTAATGATTTTCCTTTTTCAATTGACTTCAAAAGGGAACTATTCATTTTTGAAAAAATGAAAAAAGACACTTATGCCATTTTAATAAAAACATCATTGGTCAATTGTCCCTAAATTAACGTAAGGGTATTAGATTTTAATTAACACCATTAAATTTAATCAAGGAAATTTCTAGAAGCATCGGTAACTTAAATCCATCAAATCGTTGATTTTTTGCTCAAATGAAGTTCTTGCACTTTATCGTTCTCAATCTCTTCATTGTCACCTGCTTGTTTGCTGCGGCTACGTTTTCTTCTGCAGCAGAGGCTGATATCCATAACTTCCAATCTAATGCCAAAGATCTTCTTTCCATATTTAGCAGATCAATCTACAAGAAGCCATCAGATTTCATTAGGGAGCTCCTTTCCAATGCTGCAGATGCCCTTAACATTAAAAGATTGTCATCACTTACTCTTGGCGGAGGCTCCACCGAAGAATACAAAGTTTCGGTGATTTGCAACCCCATCAAGAAGGAATTGATGTTCATTGACACGGGATGTGGTATGGACGACGTAGATATGCGAGCAAATCTTGGCACCTTTGCCAAATCGGGAACCAAAGAAAAAATGCAACAAATAAAGGCAACAAATTCCTCGACCCATTCAGAGCTTATTGGTCAATTTGGACTTGGGTTCTATTCTGCATTTATTGTTGCGGACACGGTTACTGTTGTTTCTAAAAAGCACTCTTCTGACGGTACAGCGCACAAAAAATATGTGTGGAATTGCAATATTAACGATGGAAATTATACGATTAAAGAGATTAAAGACGATGACCCCTTGGAGCGATCGTTTCCCATCTCTAGTGGCACCAAGGTCATCCTCCACATTTCCGACGAAAGATTGTTGAGAGACATTTCAGATGAACTTGCTGATGATGAGCAGGAAAAGCTTGACTTTCTTGATCCCGATTATTTGAAAGAACTTATCATCGAGTATTCTCAGTATATCTCATACCCAATCTATTTGGTTTACAACAAAACAGTTACTTCTGAGGTTCCATTGGACGTGGAAGAAGAAAAACCCTCAACACATGATGAGGAGATTAAAGTTGAAGAAGAGGACGATGAGTCAAAGGCCAAAAAGACCACCAAAACCGTCACATCTGAAGAAGTTGTCACGGAAAAGGTAAACATACAAAAGCCTATTTGGGCCGATTCTTCCTCAAGTGTCACTGCTGAGCAGTATAACACCTTTTACAAGACCACATTTAAGGAATCCTCTGATCCCATAATACATCAAAGAGGATCTGGTAGCATTTCGTTGAAAACATCGGTGGACTTCCAATACCTCATTTACATTCCAAAGACACCCTCATTTCAGCCATTTTCTGGCGAAGACATCCCCAAGTTTCTCAAGCTTTATGTGAAGAGAGTGTTTGTCACCGATGAGTTTGGCGAAATGTTTCCCAGATACTTGTCATTTATTAGGGGGGTCGTTGATGTAGAGGATCTTCCATTGAACGTGTCTCGTGAAAGTTTACAAGACCTTACGGCGCTCAAATCGGTCTTCAAATATCTTGCTAACAAAGTGGTTGGGCTTATTCACAGTCTGTCAAAGAACATCACGGCGTACGAGCCGTTTTATAAGCAATATTCTGGCCACATCAAGCTGGGTATCATTGTTGAGAAGGATCAAAAACGCAAGGATTCCCTGGTGCCTTTGTTGCACTTTAAGTCGTCCCATAATGTTAGCGGTGTCTTTCTGGATGAATATATCTCAAGAATGCCAGAAATGCAGACCGAAATATACTTTGTCACCGGCAGTTCGGTCAAAGAAATGCGAAAGCTTCCCCAAATTGAGATGGCCATAAAGAAGGGCTATGAAGTGCTGTATTTGGATGAGTCCTTTGACGAATACTTGGTCCAGGCCACTCCCACCTATAAAGGAAAAGTTCTCCGCAATCTTGCCAAATCGGGCGTCAATCTTTCTGACGAGTCTGAAAAGCAGAAGCTAGAAGAAGCTCAAAAGAGGTTCAAGCCATTGACTGCTCATATGCAGAAGCTTTTTGCATCCACCATCGAAAAGGTGGTTGTATCCGGTAATCTCGACCGTTCTCCCGTTGCCATTAGTGCCTCTGCCAATGGAATTTCTCCGCAAATGGAAAAGCTTTTAAAGGCAAACAAGAACGATTTTATGGCCCAATACTATTTGGGGCAAAAAAAGATTCTTGAGATCAATCCGGAGCATCCTTTAATCCAGTCAATGTTGGATGATGTCGTTTCCGCCTCAGAGCCCGTCGAAGAGTCGGACAAGAATATGAAGTTGCTCTACTACTCCGCCCTCTTGCATTCCGGGTACGAAATATCCAATCCTGCCGAGTTTTCCCAGGCAATTGAAGACATGCTGCGTTCCAAATATGGACTGAGCTCTACAAGCAAACGTGAGGAAACCCAGGAGGATTTATTTTCTCAAAAGGAAAATCCCATGTTTTCGTTCCCAAATATGGAGGATTTTGGCTTAAATTCGGAAGAGGCCGCAGAAGCCAACCTTGACGAGAAAATGGCTGCTGAGTATGCGGCCATGGATGCTGCTGCAGAGCATGAGGAGATTTAAATAAACATTTAATGATCATCAGCCCCCCCCCCCCAACGCCTACTCAACATCACCTAATTGCTTGCGTTTGGTTCCTGCTGTTCTTTTTCGGTTACGTTTATTGGCTACAAAATCATTTTGCACGCATGTCAATTTTCTTGATGTAAATGGAATCCAGCGGCGTGCTATCGTTAGCGATGATGGTCTTACTCCTTTTCGCCCTCTTCGAAGCAGTATGAAGATGCAACTGCCAGGAATTGGCCGGAAAGATCAAAATCCAACGCTGAGATGCTCGTTGGGAAGCCTGGAAATATTTTTATCCGCCTTTTTGCCACAAGATCCCAAATGCAAGCAGAAGCATCTGAACCGCCGGTCGCAAAAACAAGCGACCTAGTTTAAGAGCTTGTCCTTACTTTGGGTGGAAGGCAATCGCATTTACAGGATAAACGACCTCAGTAGGCTCTTGCTCTGTCACCATCGACCGGTGGCATTTGAAGGCATATTTTTTTGCTTGGTCGCCGGCTTCAATGTAATCCACACTCACTCGCCCCTCGATTGATGAGCATACGAAAACTAAAGTAAGAACGTGAACGGGAACTATTCGGATCGATTGGGCAAATTCGAACGCATCTTGTTTGGTATTTCAGAGAAGACTCCCGCTTTTGGATGCAATCCAACTTGGGCGAATTAAGATCGACCTCGAAAACATCGATGTTTCTATTCGCCATTCCCACTACAATGCGGTATGCACCTGTCGACGGCACTGGCTGGCAATCGATTGCATATACTTTGTCAGAAAGCACAACGTTGGACACCAATTTCGCCGTGGACGATGGACCACATGTGGATTCCCAGAGCATCAGGTGTGAATCCCAGCTTCCAGATACAAAAAACCCTACAACGTAAATGCACAGCGCAAACTTGAGCCAGGCAGCGAGCAAATCGACTTGATTGGAGCCAGGTGAGCATCTTTTACTTCCGAAACGACCTGCTCTTTTTCCCAGTCAATGCTAGCAAAATATAAAACAATGATGTATGCACCAGTATAGACTTCCAGAGAGACCACCTGTCCATATTATTGGCCGGTCAAGGCCGGCTGTCAGTATGCATGCGTCCAGGATGGATCTGTTATTTTCGGGGACTATTCTCGAGACAAGTTTATTTAGTTGGGTATCGTGGACCTGGACAGAACCATCCCACGAGGTTGCTAGAAGATATTCGGGATTACAACCAGGCTCTTTGAAAAAACGTAGAGAAGAGATTCCATCCTTTGGCGGGCAAATTAGCTCAAAGTCGCCATCGTTGAGTAGTGGAGAGACCATGGTTGAAAATAAAATTTTATTGAAACGATGCATCGCCAATATGCCGGCCATTTTAAATTGCAAACCTCATTTCGGGGCTGCATTGTAATTTTCCAAATACAACTGCAACATTTCGGGCACCCAAAGTTATGATCGGCCGCCAAAGTGAAATGTATGCACCAATTTTGTGATCATTGCAGGGAGGCAAAAGTCGACACGATAAACAAACTTTTAGAGAACATATCGAATGATACTGATGCCTCATGCATTTCCTCCTCCATCAGAACCCAGATATGTCCTCGCATTGCAAAAATCTCGGACCTCTTATCCGAAATCAATGGCTCGATCAAGTTATTCCGTATTTTACCAAGTAGATTTATAGAGTCAAAGCTAGAAGCCACATATCCAAAAGAGCTTGATGAGGCGAAAAATGTGTTCCACTGCGCAGTGTCAGGTAAATACGGCTTGAGCTTAACATGAGATGATGAGTAGCGCTTTAATGTGCAGATTCTTTTTTCTGCCAGGGCCACAGCAATAAAACCCCATCTAACACTGTGATTGCAAGGATAGATTTAGGGCTGGGCCAGACAATCTTTGGGACGCCATGGTGGCATCCACATGATGGGGCCCATTTAAAATTTCCATTTTAAACAGTACAATGGGCTACAGGTTTTACACCAAAATTGCTTGTTTTGTGTAATTTTATTAAATCATGGGGTCACCAATTACTTTGGAATCGTAGATCAATGCAATTAAAGCGATGCGAATAATGAAATTTGCAATCCCGTGATCGAAATTTAATTTACTCGGCGCTTAAAACGTCTCATGTGTAGCATTCGGTCTCTCGATCTGTCAACACTCAATTTTGGCACTTATCTTTTTCTCGTGCTTGCATTTTCGGGTCTCCTAGTTTATGCAATTATTTTTATGAATCAAAGTCCAGGGACACCCATCAATGCAGCTGATCAACTCAAGATGGTCGAATATACCATCCAGCCATTGCAATCAAAAGGCCTAGGAAACAATAGCATGGCTGTGAGGCCCAATGCTTCAAGCATTTTATTTACCACTTTGGTTTCATTTGTGCTGCGATTGTGCGCCATACTTTGTCTCAATTTCCTGATCATTGATTTTAGCAATTTGCACCCCGAAATTGGACTATTGGGATATTTTACCTTTTTATTGGTGGCATTATTAATTGTCTGCAAAATCAACTTTGAGGGGCTATTTGAGAAAAGGGCTGTATCGATCTTTGGGCCTTCAACCCTGTGCGTTTCGCTGTATTCGTGTAGCCAATTGAATCATCTTTTTGCAAAAGCATTGGAGGAAATATTTGGCCGATGGTCGAACATTCATATACCCAACCACATCGATAAAAATGCGCTATCCAAAAACATTTCCATTCTGTACGAATTTACACATGCCATGACTTCGCACTTGGAGGGCACTTATTTTTTCGTCCACAGAGCTCCAATCACACACGAAGACGAGAAATTTCTGCTGATGGTTGCCTATAATAGCTATATTGACACTATTTTTGAGGAATTTCTTCACGGCCCCGTATATTGGCACGTTTTTTGCTACTTTGACCCCCAAAGCTCATTTGTTGCAGCGTGCAAGGCAAACTTTGACAACGTTATTTCTGCCACCAACACTTCGAAATATCAAAAGCAATCTGCTTTGAAGACACCCGTTGCAGATGCCAGGATTTTGGGGTTTCTGCACAAGAATGTTGAACTACTTATCCCTTACTATGCGCATGGATACTACCATGCCATTTGCATCCATGATGATCTTAATCTTGTTCATGCCAGGTCGATGGAAATCCTCAGATTGGCTTCAAACACAAAATCGACCAAACCGCAAATTGAGGCATGCTTCGGAATAGCGAATTTATGCAAGCCGTTGCAAGACTGAAGGAACTTTGTCCCGAAAAAATCCCGCCAAGAATCCTAATTTTGTATCCAGGGGCAATACCCAGCCCGATCTCACTATATCTAGAAACTGCAAATCAAGCCGTATACGCGGTTTTGAACGGCCAAAATTTTAATAATAAATCGGTAGATTAGCAAATGCGGTCTAAATCACGTGAATCGATTTGTTTTCATGTATTTTTCGGGCTTTCCTCGCAACAGAAACATATCGGAGAACGATCCAGTTGAGGATGAAAATGCAGAAGATCTTTTCATTGGATGCATTTCAATGGGCGAAGCCGGTTGCGAGCGAGATAAAGGCCTAATCGATAAGCGGGGCAAATGATACTCACTCTGTTGAAAGATTTTTGGGATGGTACGCTTCGATTTCAGACCAAATCATATCTAAAATTAGAGTTGGGCAAAGTAAACTTCACCTCTAATGAGATCAATATCTTTGATATCTTTAATATGTTCAAATGAGGTGTCAGAAAAAGGAGTGCCCACCAACTAGCATGTTAGCGCGAGAAAATGGCTACCAAATCTCGCTGCTTGAAATAGCCCGAAAGATAGGGGTGATGAAGGGCCTCCTTGACGGATATTCGATCGAGAGGATCAATACAAAGCATTTTGTCCAATAAATCGATTGCTCCGGGGCTTAGCTTGGGGAACAGCGCTTTGAAGGAGGATCTTGTACAATGCGGCTGGGATCGAAGGAATTGCTGGCTCTAAATGGATAAACAGCCGGCAATTGGTACTCTTTTGCTTTTCAAGCGCGAAATGAAATATTCAGAGGGAGAGCCGAGAACCTCCAAAATCAAGGTCATCTGGTCAACGGCTAATTGTGGGAAAACGCCATTTCATACCATGCTTTCCTGGAAACAGCACCTGGCCACTGACTAGCTCTCCGAAAATACAACCGGCCGCCCAAATGTCAACTGAATATAACGATCACAATTACAAGACGCTACCTGCTTCGTCATAATGGCCGTGTGATAGCATGATCTCCGGTGCTCGGTACCACCTAGTGGCAACGTATTCAGAAAACAAGGAGTCTCTTGGCTCTCGAATATTATCAACCAATCCGCGGGACAAGCCAAAATCACATATCTGATGATTAAACGCATGGGGTGGCGTGCTACCTTCAGGTCGCAATTGGAATTGACCAAAATGTTTCCAGGCTTCAAGTCACGATGCACAACATTACATGAGTGCATGTAGTAAAGCGCCTTTAAAATCTGATACAGAAAATACTGATAGTGAGCATCGGTCATTTGCTGTCCTGACCGGATAATTTGATGAAGATCCGCCTCCATCAAGTCCTGCAGTACGTAGCTAAGGATTAAAAAAAGAAGTGTACATCTCTTCAAAGCATGGCGACACTGGAAGCAGAATTCCTTTCAGTGAAACGATGTTTGGATGGCCCGAAAGGTGTTTGAGTATTTTAAGCTCCCTCAATGTACGCTTGGCCAATAAAATGTTGGTGAAAATTTTTTTGATCTTTTTAACGGCAACCTTTTCACCGCTTTTTTCGTGAATAAATGCGCTAAAAGTTAAAGATCCAATGTTTGCTTACGCTACGATTCCATATGCCCCTGTTCCCAAGTATCGTAGGAGAGAAAATCCCTTGTCGATTTTAAACTCATGTTGGAGCTCTTCCTTGTGCTTTGAAAGCCTTTTCTCCCTTACGGGCTGGTTTGCATAGCCATTTGTACCGGAGCCAGAAGCTGCCTGGGAGTCTCCAGAAACATCCGATGCCGTTTTGGACTGTACTGATGCTGTCGGAATGAAACTATTGGAAAGACCCCCGATTACCCTCATATTTCCAGAGTACATTGAACCCGACAGTGGAAAGGCTGGTTCGTATATTTATAAACTTTCATTTCGACATAAATTTCGACGAGACAACAACTGAAACGCAATTACCAATCGGATCGGCATACTCCAATTCATACAATTTGCAAAAGTAGCCCAGTTTTTAAATTAATTTATCGTCACATTTTTCTAATCAATTTCCCAAACAAGGTGGAGGCAGTTCCCCCGATGATTTCAAGCTCAACAAAGTCCCCGCAACACAATACCCCGTCGTCTCGGTGTAAATTTGCCATGGTTTCCTGGTATCCCTCTTTTATAATGACCATCTTGTTTCCTTGGTTCCTACCGCGCCACTCTTTTTCGGCCCTTCTGCTGGGCCCTTCCAGCAAAACAAGCTCTTTCTTCCCGATCCATTTTTCTTTTACAAGATCATCTGCGATTTGGTAAAACCGGTCAATAAGCCGTCTTAATCTTTTGCTCTTGATTTCTTCCGGGACGTCATCGCTCATCGTTCTTGCTGCGTGTGTCTTTGCTCGTTGCGAGTATGAAAATAAATATCCCGTATCGTACTTTGCAATCTCAAGCAGCGAAAGAGTTTCTTCAAACTCAGCATCGGTTTCGCCACAAAACCCCACAATGATATCGGTAGAAATTGTGACGCCCGGAATTGTGTCCCTAATGGTGTTTAAAAGATCGATGTAGGCCTCTCTGGTGTATCCTCTCCGCATTCTGTCAAGTACACTAGAAGAGCCTGATTGTGCTGGCAGATGGATGTGTTTGCAAATGTTGCTCCTTTCGCTCATTAGTTTAAGTAAGGACATTGGAAAATCTTTTGGATGCGGGCTAGTAAATCTAAACCATGTTTTGGGGAATTTCTCGGACAAAATATCCAAAAGATCCGCAAATCTTGCAACGTTAGCGCCGGCAAGCTTTTGCTTGTAAATGGTTTTAAACCCAGGCGCCAGGTGTGATGCGTCTTCAAGAGTTGCAGTTGCAGCCATCGTTTGATCAAGATACGAGTTGACATTTTGACCCAAAAGCGTCACTACTTTTACATCTTCTTGCTCAACCAAATGCCTAACCTCATTAATAATGGTGTGGAAAGGTCTGGACCTTTCCCTTCCTCTGGTAAAAGGTACAATGCAATAAGAACACATGTTGTCGCATCCGCGCATAATGCTAACAAACGCAGCCTTTGATGAGGGGTCTACTCTGACAGGCCTTAGCTCGGCATATGTCTCTTCGATCGATAACTGTACATTAATTGAAGGCATTCCAGTTATCCCGGTTGTCCTTAACAATTGGGGTAAAGATCTATATGCATCTGGACCGCAAACCACATCTGCGCATCTTTTCCCTGTAGTCAGAACCCCTTTTAATCTTTCGGCCATGCATCCCAAAATGCCAACCAATAAAGGCCGTTGGCTTTGTTTCTTTTTAAGGCCCAGTTTGGAGTTTGCATGTTCATGACAGTGTCGTAATGCATCGATGCGTTCAAAAATTTTGGTTTCCGCATTTTCACGGATCGAACAAGTCATCAATAGTACTGCATCGGCCGGTGTTGTTTGTGGATCGGAGAATTTCGCGATAAGGTTAAAGCCAGCGTCTAGCAATATGGAGCGAACGAGCTCAGTATCGGATACATTCATTTGACACCCATATGTCTCCAGTGCAACTGTTCTCGGAAAAGTTCCCTCCTGCGTGTTCAAATTCAAATCTCCAATTATTTCTTCACAATCGGTGGGAGATGTTTGGTGGTGAAAAGTAGACGACTCAGTTAAGCTGTTCCCTGCATCTTTTACATGTAAAAAATCGCTGAGCAAAGGGCCTTGTTTGGGCAAAACCCTTTGTTGCGTAGAAAAAGCCCTCCTTAATTGCAAAAAGAAAGTAACTTTCTGGGACATTAAATTTAAAAAATGAGGTCCAGAATTGACGAAATTCGAGGCCACATCGGACAGAACGATGTCGTTCTTGTTGCGGTCACGAAAGGACGCACCGTTGATGAAATTCTACAGGCCTATTCATATGGAATAAGGGATTTTGGCGAATCTTATGTGGGTCAATTTCCATTAATCATGTCTGCCCTAGGTACAGGAGCTAGTACAGAAAGCAAAGGAGGTTAATATGCTTGCCACATAATTTTGTCAGTGTCCTCCCGATATTAGATGGCATTTCATCGGTGCTTTACAAAGCAACAAGATTTCCGCACTGGCAAGTAAGCGTGCTTCTTGCTCGTTTGTTTATAGAAATCCCAAATATATTCATGATCCACTCGATATCTTGCACCAAACACGTTCAAATATTGTAGGCGGCTCTACACGAAAAGAAGCTTTGTGTCCTGATCCAAGTCAACGTGTCGCGTGAGCTTCGTAATGGTGTTTTGTGACAATTTCTAGAAAAGTCGGGTGTCGCGCCTGAATATGACGCCATCAATAGCATGACGTGCTTTATTGAAGAAAATGCGCCCAACCTAGTTCTCAAGGGCTTTATGTGCATTGACGAAAAATCGCCGCACATACAGGTCGATTGCGCGAGCTGCTCATTTTCCAAAATGAACGCCATCGGTAAACGGTTTCGGGGCTTTCCTCAATTAAGCATGGGGATGACCGATGACTATAAACACGCCCTGAAACATGGAGCTACCATCATTCGGGTCGGATCAGCCATATTTGGGACCTTAAAAAAGTAGGAACCTAATATATGGGATCATTTATTTTAATGCTCGAAACCACTCTACACTCATCTGCCAGCGATACTGCCTCTTCCCTTTCCTAGAAAACAAATAAAATGTCAACATTTTCTTACAGGAAGCGAAAGCTCTGAGATGATGTTGGCCAATTTCAGTGCTTTGTCAGCTTGCTCTGTTTGCTTGTAATATTTGGCCAAGGCGAGGGCAATTTTTGCCCAAAAGGAGTCTAAATAGGAGACGGACTCGTTCTAGTCATTAAGGAGTGCAACACGTGCCTGATTGTACTTTTTGCTATTGTCCAAGAAAAGCTTTCCATTTACAAAGCACTTGAGAAGCGACAGAGGAAATCGATCCATTTTTGTAGCGCAGAATCCATTAACGTTCAAATATAGCTCTGCGAGGGCGCCTGCTGCTTCTAGCCGTGCCTCATAGATTCCGGGAAGAGAAACTTCCCAGAACTTGAAAATCTCTTCAATGTTTTCGCTAAATTCGATCCTGGAGGAGCTGGACGAAAAGCAAGGCTTGCATTTGGTGCCTAAGTTTGATTAACCCACAACCACTGCGTTACCAACTAGCAATGCGGTCAAGTATGCATTCGCTGAATTGCTCTGTAAAAGTGCATCTGGATACGCATGGTTTTGATGAAAATTCTCTTCCAAAACCGAACCAAGGGCAGTCCACATCCTGGGATCCTCGGGTCTCAATTCTTTGGCTTTTCTGAAGCAATAAATTGCAGCGGGTCGATCCTCTTGAAGGGAATACACATGGCCCAGGCCAAACCATGATCTATAGTCAAAGGGAGAGATTTCTTGATCAGTTGCAAATAGTGCACTTACCTAGTGCGCATCGATATCTATCAATGGCCTCATCCAGCCGCTTGGATTGGACTAGCTCATGCCCGGAAAGAGTCCAGGCCATAGAATAGCCTGGATCTACGGTCAGCGCTCTGCTGAACATATCTAAAGCAGCCTGAGAATCTCCATTTAGCGAAAATAAGTTTCCAACAACAATCAGAGCTACAGCAGATCGTTCATCGATTGATTTAGCGCGGGCTGCCAATAGCTCCAGGGACACAAAATCTTCACTTAGAAATAGCAGGTTTGCCAGGATGTCAAATCCTTCCAACGAATAGTTGGAAATCGTCATGTCCAGAAAAGATTGAACCAAAGGCAAAAAGGAGGTCGATGCAGAAGCACTCTTGGTTCTTTTTAAAATTTCATTTTCAAGTACAAAAAGCCGGATAAATTGCGAAGCTTTGTAATGCTCGGGAAAGCCATTGAGCATGGAAGAATACTTTTCTAAAGAGGACTCCCCTGCTTCGAAGCAGGGGATCAACTCCTTATGGCATATTATCTGAAAAAACGGGAACAAAAACAGCTGCTGGAGATCACAATCTGATTGAACCTGTTTCACCTAAGAGAAGCACGAATACAAACCTGCTCTGCTCCGCTGATCGTTTGAGACAGGTAATACCAGCACGACCAATTGCCAGCATACTGAACTAGGGAAGCCCTAAAAGATGCGGCAGCCTTGTTTCTTGAGTTTGACTTGAATAAAATGACTCCTTTTCTTCAAAGTTAGACAAAGAAAAGTAATTACAAAAACAGCAGAAATGCTCTGGCAATTCCCTCAGATGACTTTGATAGAGCGACTTCTGTTCGGCCAAGTAGTGGGAACAGCGCGTTTTTCAATGCGCTTCTCCATTGAACTACTTTCGAATAGTAATACTCTTTTGAAACGCATCGAAAATCAAGAGTCACACATTGCGAAGTCTCTCTTTCAAGTTTTAGAAGATCAAAATAGATGCACAAGAATTGCCCAAGTGGGCAGCCAGCTTCTTCCCATTTCGAGTAAAAGTGGGAGGCTCTTGCAAATGCTCCAGTTGATAAGCAGGACCATGCATATCTTGCATCGGATTCTGGCATTTTGGCTCCCACTAAAATAAAGGCCTCTGAAAGTAAAGAGGGAAGACAAGGAGGCACCCCGGAATTAATTTGGCAAATCCTATTCGAACATAAAGCAATCAACACGGGATTACCATTCCTTTGCATAGGGTAAAGAATAGATATGACAAAGAGTAAAGGATAGCGCAAGTTCGCCTTTTAAGTGATCCATCCACAAAATTACAAATTTATTTTCACTTAAAAATGAAACTTAAAATCGGGAGCATCGATGGATTCGTCAGAATTTGCCAGAATCTCTCTGGACAAGATGTTGGACGAAAGACCCAATGTCTGGCGATTTTTAGCAATACCTTCGGCTATTAAGCGCTCTTGTCTAAGACGGAATGCCATGTGTGCGCCAAATAACTGCTCCGCGCGGATTTCAGATAAAGTGGCGTCAATGGAATGCCAATTCTCCAAATTTGCCTGCAGGGGATGCTTCTCGGCATGTTCCGAAGCAGCGACGTCCCTAGGCCCAAATCTCAAATTATCTCTCGGACCATAGGCTCCATATGTCTCATCTATAACTTCGTTTCTATTATCTTGCGCCAAATAATTCTCGAAAAAGGGTGGCTTAATGAAAGACTAGAGGGTGAAATTATTTTCAAATCACATACCATGTCTAATTGCTGAAAATAAAATTTACCATCTCACCCTCACCCTAAGCCTTTGAATGCAAATTTTATTAAAAATTTAATTTCCAAATATATGAATACGGCCAATCAGACGATCCACATGTCCACTGGTGGGAAATGGCCAATCGGAGCAGGAAACAGGGCAATTATGTAAAGTTCTTTTAACGAGCCATTTTTAATGCCATGAATAATAATAGCGGTGAAAATATTGTATTTAGGTCGTCGAAAGAAGAGTATTCAGCATACTCAGAAACATCGGCGTATTCAGCAACATCGGACGAGGAGGGGCCATACGAATGGGGCGGAGATGGATACATGAATACTAAATTTCCAAAGCCGGATATCCCATATGTTGAGCTTATCGTAGAGGCATTGGAAAGTGCAGCACCAAAAAAAATGTTAACGCTTACGGAAATTTATAAAAGGATCATGATGAAGCATCCATACTTTAAGACGGCCCCGTCAAGGTGGAGAGTAAGGCAGTAGCATTTTTATCTGTAGAACTCGATCAGACACAACCTTTCCTTGCACCCGAGATTTGCAAGGGTCGCTCAGGCAGACAAGTCAAAAGGATCATTTTGGAAATTTGCTACGGGAGATTCTAACGAAGAGCCCAAGCCACAAAGTTCGTTAAAAATGAGCAATTCAAAGAGGCAAATGAATCCCCGCATACTGGCTGGGTATAAACAGGCCATTAACTTTTCTCGTGTACAAAATCCGGAAAATAGCCGACCGATATTCTCTGTCAAACATCCAGCTTCGTTTCGAAAAAAGCAAAAGAAGGTTAAAATAAAGAAAAAAAAGAAACATACGGAAGGATACACCGATTTTTATGATGACGACAGCTCCCTATCGCCTTCTTTGAGATGCTGGTCTCCGATAGCCCAAATTTCGCGGCTCTCCTCGGCAGGAGAATCTGATGATGAGAAAAACGAATGCCAGCAAAAAAGAGGCAAACTAATTTTAAATCTTGACTATGGCGAAGATTTGAATCCTGTAAATATCTTTTCATACTTAGACAACTTGAAACCGGTGGAATCTCCAGTCATATGGTTCAAGGCACAAAACTCGAATCAACGAGCAGAAGCTGAATATGGCTATTCGCATTCGTATTATAAAAAAAAATATTGGATACTGCCTCAATACAACTATGCTGCTCAATGCAATTATGCTGCTCACTATCAAGCCGCCATACCCCGCCCATCTATAAAATCGATTCCAATTGCATATCCATCAGTAAGAAAGATAAACAATGCAGGCAACAGATTGTCGGATCAAAATACAATTTTTTGCTCGGAATGATAGAATAGAGGAGGATATACAAATGAACGACAACTCACGCTAGCAAAATGATACCGTTTCACCGGGCCAGGGGATCGCATTAGTTGAAACGCTTTTAAAATGGTCCTAAAAGCAGCGAAAAGAGCTTCTTTGGAAGTCAGGAGAGATAGATCGCTTCTGAAGCTTCTAAGAAAATAAATGCACAAACATTTAGCAACCGATAAAGTTCCCGTGGAGATCGAATTAAATTGACGAGATTAAAAGGTTGATGTGGCCAATCAGAGAGGTTTCAGCTTTGGCAATCACAGAAAATACGCACAATATGGAAAACAGGGATGATTCCGTAATTTGAGCCGGCTTATTTGCATAAAAGTCGACCAGCGTATCGAATGCATCTTGAGCATTGAGAAGATTTTCTGCGATGATAAAAAGAAGGTCATGAAGGGAATTCAGAACGAAATAATCAAAAAAGCCGGAGCGAAGCAGATTTTCGTAGCAAAAAAAAAGGTACTTTACTTGAATGCCTATTGAGTTCAGCTGCGAAGCTTGCCTATGCAAGAGCATAAAAGGATCCTCCTGATACAGTGCATCTTCTTGCTTGGTCCCAGCGGGATCATCCCCATCATTACCATGATCATCATCGTCATCACGAGGGTGTTTCAGCCGTTGCATGTAACTGATCAGAATTTCGACGAAAGTTTGAACAGAGCCAAATAGCGCCTTCAAATTGGCTTCTATTTCGTGCGCATTTTTCAAAAACTCGAGACAAATAGCTTTCGGTCTGCAGCTCATTAAAATTAAAATTTACATCCATTGAACGACAATAAATTGTGGAATGAATGGTCAATTAAAACACGACAAATTATGGCAAGTAAACGATGATAAATTGTGGCAATTAAAAGCCGATAAATTGCACCACTATGCCACTCGGTGGTACATATAAACACTCAAAAATGTCCAAGACATCACAAAATGTATAAAAACATCCTCATTTTATCATACATTCTCGTTATCTTTGGATTCTCTCAGTATCATTGTGCAAGCCCATTGGAGGAAACTATGGAGGTGTCTCAAGATGCAGAAGGAGCTGCAAACACAGCTGGGTGCAAAGGCGATCGATGCAAATTAAAGGTCAAGTTTGAAGAGAAAGGACATCTTCATCGTCCATGCCGTGAAAAGTGCAGGGATTTTGAAGGCTGCGATTCATCTGACGACGGCAGAGGATGGAATTTTGCCGGCAGAGAGACGATTGAAATAGAAGGTATCAGAAGGGGCCATCACCATCACCATCACCATCACCATCATCGTCACCACCACCACCGTCATCACGACCATCGTCACTGCCATCCATATGACAGATGGTGTGGTAACTTCTATTAACAATCTGCTTCAATTCGCCATCTGCTTCAATTAACAAAATAAATTTTTTGCAATTGWATTGTGTGTAGAATTTTAAAATAGAAGAATCGCTTTTTGCATGTGATGATTTGAACTCAAATGTACAACATAAAATCTTTTCGAAATTCAACTAACTACACGTACTGTCAACTTAGCAAGGTTTGCACTCTATTTTTACCGTAGATGGGTATGACAATTTCTAAGCTTCTGAGCGATCTCTTTGGAAAAAAAGAAATGCGAATTCTTATGGTTGGTCTAGATGCTGCCGGGAAAACGACCATCCTTTATAAATTAAAGCTTGGCGAAATAGTTACCACCATCCCAACGATTGGGTTCAATGTGGAAACCGTCGAGTATAACAAGGTCAACTTTACCGTTTGGGATGTCGGCGGTCAAGACAAGATCCGTCCGCTCTGGCGCCATTATTTCCAGAACACTCAAGGTACCTGATGATGATTACGTAACCACCTGCTACCTACCATAGGGCTAATATTTGTTGTTGATAGTAATGATCGAGAAAGAATCTCCGAGGCGCAACAAGAGTTATCGCGGATGCTAGCCGAAGACGAGCTTCGCGACGCCGTCCTTTTAGTGTTTGCCAACAAGAAAGACCTTCCAAATGCCATGAACACTGTTGAGCTTACGGAAAAATTAGGACTCCCCGGTCTTCGCTCGCGCGGATGGTTTATTCAGCCCACGTGCGCAACGACTGGCGAGGGGCTATATGAAGGGCTTGATTGGCTATCCAACAACATTACTTCTAAAAAATAGTCTCGTTTTCTAATATACTACTATTACTACTACTACTACTACTACAATAAACCCACTGTAAAGCCAGGCTTCATTTCTTAGCTTTGCCCTTGTAACTAGTTGAGCGCTGTTGGCTGCTTGGTATCGATTGGGTGTGCGGTGGGAGTAGTTTGCAAGGGGAGGTTTATTAGTTAATTTATGTTGTCATTATGGTGCAGGGTTGTATATTTATAGCGTGGCTGGCTATTATTGCCTTAGCCTGAGAAATAGGGCGTGTTTTGAGAATGGACTATCTGGCGGAAGATACTTGTCATAAAAATTTACAAGAAACGATTCGCCCTTAAATCCAAACCGGTTATATAGTATCAATGCAGGGTTATTTACAAACACATGGAGCGTGATGTCGGTTTCGGGACACTCCTATTTGATGAGCGCTGGTTGACAAACCTTAATTAAATGGTACAGAATGGTTGCCCCAACGCCTACCCTTTGCCAGTCTGGATGGACGATCAAATGCGAAAGATATCCGGAAGACGAGATCAAACCCGCACCGATGACCAATGATTGATACTTGGCTATGACCGTGTATTCTGGCGCGAACAGGGCATCCTTTACTAGAGAACGTTATTATCCAACCAAATACCATCTATGCCAGGCCAAAAGAATTGACACAGCAACGAATTGACGCAGCTAAGATCTTTTTCACAAAGTCGCAGATACTGGATTGAGTGTGCACACTTGTGTGTATTCGCAGGATTGACTCTGCCAAGCAGTTCTTTGTGAAGAGCAAGTTTCCTGGGAAGAGAAAGTAGCGACATAACAGAAAGAGTGACGGGAATATCATATCCCAGTCGCTGGCTATATATTTCTTTGGGGGGCTTGCTTTTCTTCTCTTTGGTAAAGGAGGATGTCTCTATTTTATAATTTGGTGTGAATGGCTTCTCCAGGGCCTGTATGGGTTCCCTGCTAGACAGATACGATAGGAAAAATTTGAAAATCGAATTATCTAGTCAAAAAGTGTCATCGGGGACGTACTGTGTGAAATATCAACATCATTGCTGGCGGAAGGATCTGGAATTGGGATATTTTCCCAATAAGAAAGCGGGTCCATACAATTGAAAAGTTGAGAATTTATTACAATTTAAGTGTGGTTTGGGAGACCAGCCTTTTCAGATGCAAATAGTCGGGCGAAAGGTCTCCAAAAATGTTGAGCTCGCCCCTGGGATTTTTGGAAATCTCAGCAATCGACGCTGAACCCCTGTGGACCATCAGTGTAGATGTGGCCTCGTTAAGGATGCATCGCAAATAAGGCAAGACGGAGGCGATTTGCGCGCGTAGTGTTAACAAAGAGAGGTTCCCGTTAATTATTTGAATCGATCCAAAGTCAGCGGGCTTTATGACGGGATCGTATTTGGAAAAAAGAAGTGCCACAATATCATCATCCTTTTTCTCAATTTCATGAACCGGCAACGGCTCCAATATGTACTTTGTGCCCTCATCATCATCATCCTTTGTCGATGGCATGGTGGCCATTTTGCCTTTAATCCGTGCAATTTCTACATTTTCCTTGGAGTGGAACACGAGCGACGAGATCAGAGACTCGGAAAGCGTGATGTGGAATATGTTGGTCAATTCAGAAATATTGATCCTCTTTCCCTCTACAAGAGCAAGAACGATTTCTTTTGATGATGGCGAGGAAGAGGCCGTAGATAGGTCGTCGCCCTCGTCAATGTAGACGTCCGAAAATGCCAACTTGTACCATTGTGAAAGATAAATCGTTTCATCTGAGCCTCCATGTAACAAAATCAATTTTTTTGGCATCAATTGCGTTAAGAGGGACTTCAAGGCCCTTCCATCGGACCTGATGAAATAATCAGTCCACTTAAATGAACATTCAATCTTTGAGCTTGTGGAAAATGGAAATTCCTTCACAAGCCGACAATAGGGATCCGAAATGACGTCTTCGTTTTCCTTTGCGCCCAATGAATTGAGGGGATCCGACGAGAGGACACCAAGGATAGAAAGTTGATCTCCCAAGCTGGGCTGATGCTTCTGGGACAACGTGGAGGCTGCAATTTCGAGCGAGGAAGTATCGGTCTTTTGTTGGTCAAATGAAAACATGGGCCAATCTGCTGGATCCAGTAGTTCCCCATAAGCAGATAGAGGCCGTCTTTTCTCTTTGTGTGGGAAAATGAACCCATTGGACATGGTGAAGCTTGCCATCCGCGAAGACGGGTGTGTTTTGTCGAGAAATCCGCTTTTCAAGGACGGATCTGCTACAGACCTACCAGGCTGCGGTTCATTTTCATCATCGTGGTTTTGGTTGTCTTCCTCATGCAGATCCTCATCCTCTTCTTCTTCATCTTCTGCCTCAATGGTGGAATGCATTTCCTTTTTTGAAAGCTTTGGAATCTCTTCCTCGGAGAGCACAATTCTCCTGTAATACTAAATTAGATGAATTTGTT